AATGCCATAACTCAAGATACTTATTCTGAATTTCACAGATGTTCTCGTAGGAGTTTTGGAAATGTTTTCGCAGGTCTTCTTGGAAGATACCTGTGGCATATTGCAGGTGGTCTTGAGCGATGCGGCGGGTGATGTTATCTCTGAAGTTTTCTTCGGCATCGAACTTGGCGGCAATGTAGTTTGCTTTTGCATTCAGATTTTGTTGTTCAAGATCGTTGATAGATCGTCTTTCTACAACCAGGGGTTGTTGGAACGTTGGCAATGAGGTGGCTGATGGCATGTAGGTCTTGATGGTCGAAGAGGTGGTAGAAGTGTGCCATGTCGTGGCAGGTGACGTTGTAGATGTTGTCGGCTTCCTGCTAGTGGTACTGGTGACGGTGGCTTGACGAGTTGTGGTCCAATTCATTGTTGTTGTCCGGGCAGGCGTAGAATTAGGCTGCTTAGAGGTAGTAGTAGTCTTGGAGGCCATAGTCGTCTTCTCTTCGATTGGTCGAATCAGCATATTAGGAGGGATCTTTAGTGAAAAGCTCATTTCTGAGGTGGGGTTATTCACATAAGGTGTAAAAACTTGAACTAGTAGTTTTCGAGAATATTGGTCTGGCGGTGTAAATGATGGGTTAGAAGAATAAGGCATTCCGAAGTTGTTGTCACTCTGTTGAGTGAGTCGTTCGAAGTTCTTGGTGTCCGGGAGTTTTGTCAAGTTGGCGAAGGCAGCATCATCTTGTTCAGCGAGTTGAGGGTTGAACTTATGTTTCTTTAGGGCATTAAGTTCTGTGACTATATCCTTTACGTTGCTGAAAAGTTGGCTGATGGCTGTGTTGACGGACTTAGAGGTTGGTCTGGCAGACATGAAGGCTTGTAGAACTTGATCCACTGATGGAACGGAAAAGGATGTGGATACGGGTCCGGGCGTGAAAGTGAGGTTTCGCGCGATATTTTCGGCTTTCTCGCGATAGGTGTATCCTTGTGTGGTCAGCATTCGATTGTCGAATTCGGCTGCCGTAATCCTTTGTGCGATTTGTTCCAATAATTGTTGAGTGGTTAAGAATTTCAAGCTTGCTCGGGTGGCGGCGTAGAGTTCTTTCTTTCCAAGGTACTGGATCAAAGCTTCCTCAGGGTCTGTATAGTCGTGATACTCCAAAAATGACTTGAGACTGTGACTGGTGATCTCCGTCTTCAGAATGAATTGCAGCTTGTCCCTATGGGCTGTGGCATACTTTAGGAAAGTATACGAGGGGTCGGCTGTTTTTCTTTTCTGAATGACGGACCACATATGAGCGATTCCGGGGTTGCTCATGACTGGTCGGAGGAAGGGGTATGGGCAGACGGACAGGGTAGCAGATTCATAATCAAGCTGTGTCTGTATCCAGTTCTGGTCCAGCGGAAAGATGCAGGAGGGAGAGGATCTCTTGCTGATCCTTTTCTTCGTCCTTGTGAACTCTCGTTCGATGAGCAGGTGAATGTCTTTGTCGGCAGGGAAGTGAGGCAGGGTGATGTAGTTTCCAGAAGTGGTGTGAAAAACCGGCTGGATGAAGCATCCTCTGATTGGTTTAGGGACTGCTTCATGGTTGACGACAAGAGCTGTTTGAGTAGTTGGAATTAGAACAATGTTATTAGCCAGGATGGCATCATAGACATTCAAATCCAAGTAATCACAGCGCTTTCCATAATCCTGGGGTGTCCATACGATGATAGAGGTGTTGGACAGACAGTTTCCGTGATGAGCCATACATCCATCAGTGTTTAGTAATAGATCTGAGATGATGGAGTCATCAGGCATACGGGTCATGATTCCTTTTTCTAAGATTATGCGTGGCTTTTCTTCACAGGTTTCCTGGTTCCAGGAGCGGGATGGCGAGAAATCCGGTTCGGGTGTGGCATAGACGTTGTTGTGCAGGTTAACCAGATCGGTGTCATTGATCTTCCGGTCGCGAATGATTCGGTTACATTCGGCTTCGGATATAGGTTCTATCCTCTTGATTGTAGTTGTGGTGTCTCGAAAGAAAAGAAGGTCTCGTATACATATTTTGTATATTTCCTTTGTGCAACGCCATGCGTCCCACTCATGAGCGGTAGCGTTGCGAGTGTACAGATGTACCTTAGTTTTAAGCACATGTTCCGGTTGGGCAAGGGAACAGTTTCGAGTCACCGGTGGAAGGAGAAGAACACCTCCTTTGGCTTTTGTACAAGTCTGATAAGTTGCAGAACATTGTCCAAATAAGCAAAGGCAAGCGATGGTCAGGCTTATCATCAGTGGAGAACAGAGAACATTGTTAATACGCCATGGTTCTCTTCTTCCATTGTTTCGGTTCTGGTAGTTCCGGTTTCCTGTCTGGTTGAAACGTGGACGTCCATGTCCTTGTTGGTTCGGGTTCTGGTTTGATCGATTACGGAAATCGTTCGATTGGCGTCCATCGTGGCTCCTTTGATTCCAGTGTACTTGTTTGGGCTGCTGTTGCTTCCATGCAGACGTTGGTGGTCCTCTGTTGTAGTCATTGTTCCGGTGGTTAGAGAGACTTCGACGAATAGGTGGCTGCGGCTTCTGGTTGTTCCGGGGTGTGAAGGGTCGTAAAGCTTTGTTGACGGCGTTGATGAGCATCTCCTGAGGATCCGTAGATTGAGAGGTGATTGATTCTTCCATCTTGGCAATTTCGATGGCGTCATTGAAATCCATAGGTTTGGCTCTCATAACATACTGTTTTAAAGAAGGTTTAAGTCCTCTGATGAATGTTATCTTGAGAGTGCTGTCTTTGTTTGGATCGTCGTGAGCAAAGGCTGACAAGCTTTGTTGTCGTAATGAGTGTGCATATGCTTCTACTGAGTTGTCTCCTTGGACGGTGCTTTGAAGTTGCATCAGTGCTGGGTCTTGTCTGTATTCTGGACACAGCTTCTTTGTCAGACTGTTGACGATATCGTTCCAAGGTCCATGCAGGCGAAGATTTTCATTCAGTGCATTGTAAGCGTCTTCTGCTGCTGGTGCTCGTAGTAGTAGAGGCAGAATGGTCAATCGTTCTGGTATAACAAGTCCGAGGGCGTTTGTGAAGGTGTTGAACTTGTCAACAAAGTCTCGGAAGTTGCGTGATCCATCGTAGACAGGGCAGTATGGAGATCCTAATGCAGCGGCTATTGTTGTTTTTCCTGCTCCAGGCAGATCCATTGCAGCTGGGCCATCCATAGTTGATTGCGATGACGGGGTTGTTGATACTGTAGGTCTTCGATTAGGCGATGATCTTCCAGTAGGTCCTCTAGGTGACGTTGATAGTTCTTCGGTTCCGGAGGGAGATGTTGAAGGGACGTAGGTTTGATCTGATGAGGATACAGGGGAGGAATCAGAAGATAGAGCAACTATAGAAGGGTTGCTAGTTTCTACGGAGCGGTCAACAGGGCTTGAACGGTTAGAAGTGGCAGTAGGTTGCGGATTAGATAAGGAAGGAGATGTAGATGAGGGACGATCCGCGGTCGTTTGAGGTTGGGAACCGGTATCCGAGTGGGGTGAGGGAGGGGTAGGGGCGTTGGATACCGTAGTAGGTGGGGCTTGGGGAATGGTAGATGCTTCGAGAGAGGCAAGGGGTGGGGCTTGGGGAATAGTAGATGCTTCGAGAGAGGCAAGGGGTGGGGCTTGGGGAATGGCAGATGCTTCGAGAGTGGCGTTGGAACAGGCTATTGACCGGTTAATAAGCTCAGTGTCTGTGAGAACACGGGGAATATCTTCCTGTCGTTTTGGAGTAGGTTTTCTTGGAGAGATATGAAGAGCTTCTAGTAGTCTGGATGCTAAGTTACGCTTCTTTGGTGTAGTATGAAGGCGTAGTGGAGTTGCGGCTGATGTCTTCTCAGCAGATGCTGTGGATCCTGGTTTCTGCTTGGCTGGGGTTAGTGTCTTGTCAGCGGCTTCCAATGAAAGCGATCCTTTGGTTACGGTAACAGTGCTGTTCCGGTTGACGGCAGTTTCCTCTTGTTGGTTGGCTGGGGCAATATGTGCTTGGCTATTCGTTGGCTGAATTTGGACTTGTTTAGGCAATGACGGAGTGTTCTGGGCGTTTGGCGTGAAGAACTGATTGATCTCTGCTCCGTCTAAGTCAGGGTGTCCTTCTTCTACAAGGTTCCTTGCACGTGATCGATTTAGGAGATCGTCGAGGGTAGTCTTCAGAAGCGGTGGGTTATGGCTTCTTGTTCTCTGTCCGACTGGTTCAGGAGTACGGTAGGGAGGCTTGTCCTTCTCCACTTTCTTCGGTTTAGTGCGGAAGAATTGGGAGTGATATTCAACGTGCGGGATCCTTGAAGGCTGGTAGGGTCCGGTAGATGGTTCGTTAACAGAATCCTATAGGCAGTTCAGCAACGGTTAGCTTGTTGGTTAATTCCGGCAAAATGATCGGTAGCGGCGGCTCAGCAGGCGGTTCGGCAAGCTTAGACGGCGGCGGCGGTTCGGCAGGCGGGAGGCTCGGTTGAGCGAATGGTGAAATGAGGAAGTTCCGCTTCCTTATATAGGAATTTTTGGGCAGCAGCTCTAGTCATAAAAAGCGGAAGCTAAACTAGTTATGCTTAATCCTGATTTCCGGAGGCGGTACTAGGTTAAATAGTACATGATTGCTCTCAGTCATTTTTCTCTGTCGCTTGTCTTCGAACAGGTGAGGTAAACTGGTCTAAGATGTCTGCGCATGTTGAAAAGGGATATAATTGAGGGGGGCGGGAAATGTAACAATTGTAACAACTGGTGGTGGTTAGTTATATAGTAGATATAATGGTTTAACTGGGTCAGGAAATCAAAATTGGGTTGTGATTGATATTTCTAGAAGTGCTTTTTCTTAAAATGGAGGTGATTAATCATGAAGTTACAAAGATCTCTATTGTTAGGCGAAACTATAATTGGTGGAGAAGTTAGTATAAATAGGAGTTGATATGTTGCAAAAGTTACCCTTGATTCGCTCTTCCTGGTAGCTTTTAGTTACCAGTCGAATTCTTCTTACTTACTTTCTCTCTTCTACTTTCGTCCTCTTCTAACCATGTCTGATGATGGTGAAGAAATTAACTGTCTCCTAGATGAGACTCGTCTTCTCATGGTGGATGGAAAGCTTACTGAATTCAAGGTTCACTTGAAATTAGGTTATCTGGCGAATATTATTGAAAATTATCACACTGTCAACGTTTCTTGTCGTTACCGCATTTATGAAAGTTACTTCGAAATGTCTGGTATCGTCAAAGAAATGCAGAATGCTGCACAACCTATTATTCAAGCTGCGATGTATTCCAACATCAAAACTGAGCTGCGCATGTGGATGTTACCTGACAACGCCGAAGCAATCTTGAACTATGTGAAGAATGCTATGGAGGTGTTCAAGACTGATTTGATGGAAGCAGCTGTAGTGATGGAAGGACGTGGTGCGAAGCTAAGAGAACTGAAGCAAAGTTTGACTGATATATATCCTCCTTATAATTGATGTCTCCTCTTTTCCTTTTTTTTTCTTGTTGAAAATCTTCTTCAAATGAATTTTTTTCTTTCATTCACATACTTTTACTTTCTTTCACAGTGAAAATACCTCAAAAGATACCTTCGTTGCAAAAAAAAATTGGTCGGAGCAATTAGTGAGGAAGTGGTCAAAACATCTTTCAAGGTTTGAAATCTCTTTTGCTGTCCAAAAGAAGTAAGAATGGTGCGAAAGCGAAAAAGGTCGATAACCTGCAACCTATATAACGAAAAAACAACTATATACTGTTCTCCTTCTAGTTTCAAAATACACAGCAATTTTGTAAGCAAATAAAATAATGACAAGATTTGTGATACAATATGCTGATACTAGTGTTATAAACGTATAGACTCAATTAATACTATAGAAAAGGAAATGCATTCAACATTGTTTAACAGGAAGTATTAAATGAAACTTCAATATGAGAATAGATAAGTATTAGTGAGGTAAGGTAACCGGATACAAAGAAATATACTTTGTACCGTGGTTGAACCAGCACCACCTCGAGCTGGGTCAAATGCTCAAGAATACGAACTACATACCCAATAAGTGTGCGATGACTCAGAGATCAGAAAAAAAATACAGTTAGCTGCAGTGGTAGTTCTCAATGAAAAGTGCGCGAAAGTCGCAAAGAAAATGTTTGGCCAAAAGTGATGGAATACGGTATTTCGAAACTATAATCATCACAAAACCACAAAATACAAGGATACTAGAGCAGCCCCAACTGACATCTAGTCCTTCCTCAGTTTCGAAATCGAAAAAGGTTTGTACTCTGAACCGAGAGTATCTCAGAGCAATATCATTCGTACAAATTTTACTATATAAAAGGGTGGGGTTTGGTGGAGTCAAAACAATGGTAGCGAATGAGGGAGTTACTCTGAGCCCTTTCTCTGATATGCTGGCCCTTATTCTTAATCTATTCTCAGCTGAACGGTTGGCCCCTGATGTGAAATCAGCTCAACCAAACCGTCCAGTTGTGGAGGAGTTCAAAAGCGAGGTGGAACCTCCACGTTCCGTTGGGAAAATGTTAACGCTCGCGCATCGGACATATACACCAATCTAGTGTATACATCAGATGCTGTTAGAATTCTATGTGTGTAGCGGTGAAGCGAACGCACGAAAAGGGTTGCCTAACAGGTGTTGACATTGAAGTTACGTGAACGCTAGGTTATAAAGATCCTAGTCTTGCATGAGTAATAAAGGTTTATTTAGACAGTGATACATAGTTACAGCTTACAATAAGAATACCTAGAGTTAATAGATTAACTCAGGATGGGAAGACAGATGAAGGAATACCATAATGGTAAAAGTGGTGTTCCTCCATCTGGAGTTACAGTTCCATAGAGAGCAATAAGGATGAGGGAAGTGAAGACTGAACTAAACTCAACTGAATAGGTGAGT